TCCGGTGGTTGCGGGTTCGATCCCCGGAATCCCCGGGCAATACAAATATTGTATTCACGAGTTTGTTATTGGAGTGGCCATTTTTTATGTATTGACAAAATTGTTTTAACATGTTTGCAAGTTGTCAGTACGATCCTTCAATTCTTGTCCGTCACTAGTATAGGTAGCGAACTTTGAATAAGGGCGAGTACAATAGATCTATACCGGGAGGAAGGGCATTGTTAGTAATGGGAACTAGTAATCCCCATTGCTATCCATGTACCATATTAGATCAACCTCCATGCGGTTCCTCCTGGAAACCATCGTGATAAATTCCTAGTGAATTTGTCATGATGGGCTAACTGACCTGACCACATGCTCATCTTGTCATCCACTGGTCCCCGCCAGCGGAAACCGTTAGCGCAGGCGGGTGTACCGTTTCATTATCATCCACAAAAAAAAAATCTACAGGTCGGACAGGTCTTAGCATCTTAACATAAAAAAAATTGTAAGTTATACAACATACAGAACATGCTTCAAATAATAATTACTATGCTTCGTAATACCTTTTATATGCGCTAATACTAATAATTACAGACTATCTATTTCGACGGCCTCAGTGGTTTAGTAGTTTAGCATACCGCTTTACTTTCCGATGTTCACGGGTTCGATTCCTCGTACGGTTCAATTAGTATTCACGAATATGATTGTTGTCTAGTATCCATAACACAAGCTCTGCTTAGCTTGTTAATAGATGACGCTGTGTGAACTGTCCGGGGATATTATTATTATTATATTATGGATAACCGGGAGACTTTTGTGAAGTTCAATTCATCATAGTTACAGCTTAGGAAGATTTAAGAGCTTTCACTCCCGAAGTTTTAACCGAAGAATTAAACTAAGTACATTTTATAATTATGAATGATTACTTAATTAGTACTTTGGTAGTGAATTGAAATTTATATTATTATATGTACCTCATATTTGAGTAAAATTATTGAATAAAATAATAATAACCTAGAACAATTTAGATAGCGTATGCGTAGTTTGGGACTAGATGGCATCTAGTTGAATAAATATACGAAAATACTTAATTATATTATACAAAAACACCATGTGTATAAAAAATATTCAAGGTCTGATAAAATTATAAATATTAATATAAAAGAATTATTTTTTACAATACTAATAATAACTGGATAGGATTATATTAAGTAAAGTATATCTGGATAATTTATCTAATTATTGTTCTGAACATTAGAATATAAATTAATCATTTGACAGGCTGTATGGGCATAATTCCCTTTGCTTTTGCTAAAGGATAAACCGGAAGAAAACCAAAAAACATTTGAAAACATGTATTAAATTTCACTTTATTAAGTACTTTAGTAGCTACACAGTATGTATAGCAAAATTTCATCACTAGATACTTAATAAAATGTATCTTACTAGAAAATCGTATGTATCTGCGAAAACAATGCACGAAGACAACAAAATCAGCACAGTCAGTCAATGCAAAACAAAAATAAAATAACATCGTCTACTAAGCGTTCGATCTTCAAAATGTTAGCTCACAATACGTTTCCCGCGCAAACATGGCGCCCAAGTGATTCTGTTTGTCGTGTCAAATGGAACGTTTTAAATCCAATCGAGGCACAGACGCTTGCGGATATACTGCTAAATTGTTTAAACGAGCAAATACAAGTTTACGGATGCTTTAAAATTGAATAAATAAGTACAATTACATTTAAGTAGAAGTTGTAAAATTTATGTTGTATTTAAAAAAATCAATGACTTGGTGTTACACGAGTCTCGTATACTTTTTAAAATAAAAGATAGACTTCGTCACTATTTCATTGTTATCTATGAAAACATTACAAAGATGTTAAGCATATTTCTAGTTTGTTGTGAATGATAAACACAATTTTTTTATACCGATTCGATCCATTATATTATTAGCAAGGGTCATAGGCTGTATTTCAAGTGGACAGCGTTGTAGGATATAGCTAGTCAACGCAAATTTAACGGAAAATTTTAATGACCCTGATCGTTCAGTTATGAGAACACGTTCCGTTTCACTGAAATTGAAATTAATTTATTTTCTATCAAGAAATATTTTAAAGTAGACTGTAACCTTGTTTTGTAAAACAAACAAATCTTTGATAAACATTTTGTTTGGAAAATTTTCGTTTTTATTTATTCTGGGTAGACATTGTGAAAAGACTTCTGCTTTTTGGGTAGTTCATTCTTACTTATTTAAGACGCCAATCAATTGGCTTTAGATTCAGTTGTAGAAGAGCGATTAGGTAGTGAAATAACAGGATAAGAGGCATGACATCTTAGTCCACCGGAATGGCAACTTATGAGTATGAGTGTTACATGATAACGTGATGTCTGTAGTGCTGTTCACGTATATAGGGTAACCGTTATTATAAAAAAAGTACTGGGTCTAGTCTAGGATAATTAATTTTTTAATACATTTTAAATTTAGAATTTAAAAACATTTGAGTGTAAAATATAGTTTTGCCGACTATGAACAGTGAACGGTCCGCAACAAAATTGAGTTTTGATTCGAATCCCCACTGCGTAGGACGTGATTCGAATAAACATCTGAATTCATAGCGTATACTATTGTAATCAAGTTTCGTTTCATAACCGACTTCTCCGAGTTTAAATTGACGTAAATTTGTTTGATTCTGTTTTTTACAGTTTTCATCGTAGCGTGCTGGATATTCAACGAACTTTTTTTTTAATCATAAAGTTTTGGATTTTTCATTACGATACTACACCGTGTCTTTATCCATCATTGTGGATTCATTTTTCAGAAAATTACTTGAGAATTGTTCGGTATTTCTAACATTAATTTGTAATGTCACGCATATAAAAATAAATGTCTAAAGAATATTTTCTTTTAAAGTATTTCAAATACCTTTTTTAATATCATCTTATTTGATTTATAGTTTTAATAGTAGTTCTCTAGAATTCTATTATATATTGCATTTGCTACAACAGTACTTTTAAGTTATTATTACAATTTTTTTTAATATTTAAAATTCATAAGATTCTATAGGGGTTTCGTTATATATTTTGTCAATTACAAAGTTGAAAATCATGAACATTGTTTAATTGATTTTGAAAATTGACAGATACGTAGTGAAGTCATTGCGAAACTTAGAAGTATTGTAAAAAAAGATTTGAGGAAGGAACAAAGTGTAATTTAGTTATGCTAAAACAAACAGTATCAACTTAAAAAATACTTGAAGTTATTACAAAGAATAATTTATTTGTATATGAAATTACTACGATATGTGAGAGGTACGTCGGAAGACACTGGTCTCTGTTCTATAGGCGTCAGAATACGTCTGCTGCTGGCTTTATGTTTACTTGTTTATTTATCTATATAACTTGCATATAATTTCAAAGTGCATACGGACTTAACGCCATGTGGCATTATCTACCAGTTAACCATGGGCGGTGCAGAGAATAATTGTTGGCGGTGCAAATATAAATAAACGATATGATGGACAATACACATATAAATATATATTAATAAATAGCTACATATACATACCCATACATATATACATATATAATAATCTGATAATTAAATATCATGTACAAATTATGGAAGTAAAAATAATTTTGTATTGCTAACAGTGTTCCGAATTGAACGGTGAGAAATTGAAACATAAAAAGAAATTAATAAATCAACCGATTTAAAGCTGAAACAAAAGCAAAAGGTCCATAATAATATATTAATTATAATATTATTCTCGACAAGCAAAATGATGTTTAATCTCAAGTCTTAATTATAAATGTAACGGATAAAAGTGAGCCAGTGGGCTCAGGATGGATTACCAGAGATCAAGTTTCCAAAGAGATAGATTATTACAAAAAAAACCACTTCAACTTATAGAAGCGAAGCGATAACTTTATCTTTAGCTGCTGTTGAAAATATATCTGTGTTTTTAAATAATACGTAATATTAGGAAATAGTTATTGGATAAATGGTTTTACATTATACAGGTAGTTATAGTATAGTCTACGACATATCCTCAGCATCATTCTAGAAGCTTGGCGTCAAGAACGGCTTCATTCCTAAACCTATTCTTGTGCAATAAGTTAATTTAATTTAATTATTTTACGATTACAAATTGTTATTCAATATTGGAACATATATTTTCATATTTTTCATTTTATTATAAGGAATCCGAATTATTAATAATTGTTAAATTTATACATTTAATATTATTATTGATCAAAATTAAATTCATAAACAGCTTGTTTGCGAAATATACTTAAAACTTAATACAAATTTTATTACAGTTGGTGTTTAAATTTTTATATTTTGATCATTATTTACAATTAAACGTTATTTTCATTGCATGTCTTTGTTTAGTAACTTCGTTGCGAAGGCCATATAGATATTGGTTACAATTTTTTTTATATATTAATATATAGCTTTATATATTATACCTGATCCAATGTAGCAGCAGGTTGACCTTCAAAGATTAAAAGAGATTTGACGTAAGTAATCAAAGAACGCCCTCTCAAAGGATTTTTGGAGAATATTAAAATTAGCGAAATTTCACATTTCACAGCTAATGTAATTTTACGTTCGCCTGAACCTTAATAAATTTTATCCAATTTTTACTGATGGTTCTTAGATATACAAAGGTGTTTTGGTTTCACTTTCAAATCCACTTTTAAGTCTGTTGGTGTTGTTAATTTATAATTCTATACTTATATTTGTTTTGTTTATTACTAATTTGTTTTTAGGTTTGCAAAAGAAAATAGTTTATCTTTTATTTCTTTACATAGAACAAAATCGTGGCGAGGTGGTTTGTTTATCTGTTTGTTCGTGAATGTTTTTCATAAAGACGTTTATTTAAATAAATATTATTTCTATATCCTAAAGTAGATTATGTAAAATCAGATAAGAAAGAATCAGAAGTACTTTTTTTGCTGTCTTTAAAATTTACCGTCCATATAATTTTTTATGACAATTAAATACAACTTACCAATATCCAACGTGGCGACCGCATCTTTCACCAGTCTGTACGTGTCCCCGTTGATTCTTAGGAAGTCCACACACCCAAGAAGTCCATCAGATAGGCCCAGTTTGATCTGTAACCCTGTCGTATTACCAGCGCCTCCAACCCAGACTGGTTCCCGGAACGTCATCCGGGAGAACAAACCCTGTGGACGAATTATAAGGATCAAATTTGTTTGTAAGTATCATTTAGAGGAAATGCTAATTGCTGCCTTTACACGACACAGTCTTTCAAGCGTGATCAGGACCTCGCGTGATTTGGTGCGGGAAACCAGCGCACATAATTGTGAACCCCCCTCCGATCGATCCCGACCAATTCAAACGGGGATCGAAATTACGACGGCCTGAGCCGAGGTTCAAACCTCTAACGGTGCCCTGTAAAGTCATATCTGTCAGGCGGGAGTTGTCCTTCAGCCACTCCATATGTCCTTCCTTTGGTTTGGAGTGCCATCTGCACTTGCCCCCTATCGTCAGGTGAAGCTGTAAAGGCCAGCTGCGGCCAACAGCATTAGAGTATTAAAAAAAATTGTGAGGGCTTGCATTTAACTTGCGCTTATAATGGAAGGAATAATAGAAGGTGATCATTTCACCTTCTATTAAAATATTATTTTTTATTTCACTGTCATTTATAAATTACTAATATCTCGATAATTATGTTTTTGCTCCATAGCTAGATGTCTGCTATTTTCTATTGATCATTAGTCATTAAAAAAAGAGAGTACAAACATTTGTAGTCATGAGTATGATTGTATCGGTCTGGATGTTTTCTATGGTGTATGGTGTATGGTAAATTTGAACACAGGTCCTTTGAGCTATATAATTAAAAGTAGTCAATCACTAGGCCCCAACATATAAAGACCCCATGATTGTGCAGTTATTATAAGTGAGAGCCCACAATTTGAATTGGACAGGAAAATTCCGCGGAATTCCGGTGATTTTTCTAAAACATTACCCTCAGTGTTGGACCAATTATGCAAAACTGAAATTGGACGCCGAAGGCTATAACTGTGGTCCAAGTCATGAGATATATAGGTATTAATTGAATTTGACTAAAAAGTCGCTACTTAAGAAGGCTTTATGCAACAGTACCTACACTTGTAATATTTCTGTCAACACTTGAGACCCTTCCATTAGTTTACGTCTCCACTGACATAGATTTAAGTTCAGTGTAAAAACAGTCCACGTTACGACTCTGCGTCGAATGTACGCGTTACAATAAGCCATGTAGTACTACCAAATATACTTACTAATGTACAATAAATAGTACAAACTACAATAAACAATATATTATGTAGCGCAACCTCATCACATCATAGATAACGCTACAGTGGTGAAGTGATAACCACTGCACTACAAGGGATTATAATTGCCGGCCTCGGTGGTGTAGTGATTTAGCACACCGTTGTAATGTAATATGGTCTATATTCCTTGCATTTAACCTCTCATCTGGACCGTTGTGCGCTTACCATACAGTTTTACTTCCGATGATCGCGGGTTCGATTTCTCGTAGGGCGCAGACATTTGTATTCATGATTGTATATCGGTCTGTGTGTTTTCAATATATATTACGTATCAATTTACAAAACAAAAATGTAGTATTAATATATATTATATAAAATAGTAGTACTATATATATATATATATATCAGTTTTTTTAGTACCCATAACACAAGCACTGCGTTCTGTATTATTCTACTTTAATACTGTATAGTTTTATATAAATCCTTTCAGTAGTTTTTGCGTGAAAGAGAAGCAAATATCCAACGATCTATTTATAATATTAATAAAATAAGATTAATTTCAGGGGTTTGTCTATCAGCTATCATTACTCGAGAGCAGATGTTGCACAGTATAAACCTCATTTTAGACAAAGACAAGCTATTACATTAATTAAATGACTAAAGTTGATTGTTATTTTCTATCCATCATTCATGACATTTAACGGTATTGTCAACGATCTTCCTTTGACTTCCTGACATCAAAGTCATATCTTCAGTTGCTATATTTTTTTGTAAGTAATTGTAATGACAAACAAACTGACAGTCAACTTTTTTTTACAGCCTAGGTGACAAACGAGTGACTGACTTGATGGTAAGTGTTTATCGCCACCCATGAGCACCCACAACACCGGGGGACTTGCCAGTACGTTGTCGGCCTTTTAAGAAGGAGTAAGCTCTTTTCTCGAAGGCTTCAATATCGTATCGGTTCAGAAATACTATTTGCTAAATAATGACCGTTGTTTATGTATATACGGGTTCTGAACAGCATTACTCATATCATGATATCACTAAAATGTTGCCATTACCAGGACTACGTTCTTTTTTTTGTACTTTTTTACTATGGTCAAATTTCGACCAATGAGCGTCCACTAGTCTATATTAATATCTATATATCTAAATTAAACTCGCAATTAAAAATAGGGGTTAGTGATTGAAGGGTAAAATCTTTGGGTTGTATGTATTTTTAATGCCACAATATAAAAAAAACTTATATACTTGTACTTAATTTTTGTCCAAAAAATAAAAAATAAACGTTCGACAACCCACCCCTAAGATTCTCAGGCTTTTGAATATGCATATAAAGTTTCGTAAAAATCGATCAAGCCGTTTCGGAGACATTATGACACGAGAATTTTATACATAAAAGTAACTACTAAGTAACTACATATCAAAGATTAATCTTCAGAATTTATTATTGAATCTTTCTCGTTACGTCTACTATATATTAGAGAGCCTGAAAGCTTAGTGAACTTTCATATCGTAATGCTTATCTCGTTGGAAATACGAAAAAGCTATTTACAGAGTTCCCAAGTTTTTAAGGCAAGACGAAGTTATTTTACCAGTTATGAATGAATGTAGCAGCTGTCGCTCTTTTCCGTGTACCATGTCAAGTTGTGGATACAATTTAATAAAGCAAAATACAATACAAATATATAAACATTCTTACTTGTACCACGGTAAGCAGAGCTTGTGTAGACAACTTCGATATGTTTTTTATAAATACACACATAATATACATAGAAAACACCCAGATGATTATTATTTATGAGTATAATTGTTTGTACCGTACAAACAATTGTACTCATAAATACAAATATGCACCGTGCGAGGAATCGAACCCGCGATCATTGGAAGTAAAGCAATTTGCTAAACCGCTTGTCCACCGAGGCCGTCCAAAAAAATATATACGAATCCGGAACAACTTATTATAGAACTAATTATAGAACGGTGAACTAATTCGAGTTTCATTATCATTTCCGCTATATGCTTGTCAATTGGACTCCACCTCTATCGTTGCCCATTTTCTACCTAACCCTTCGAAGACACGAGTGTTCCTAATGAGTTCTAATTTTCGACTGTAGGTGTACTTTTTCCTGTTCAACACATTATTGCCCATTGATAAATCAAGTGAGCATTATGGCTTAGTAGTTGACTACCTACTAATGACATACAGAATTAAATATTGTACAATCTTATTCATTAAATAGTAGTTTAAATTTATTAATAACTAGCTGCGCCCACGACTTCGTCCGCGTGCAATTTGACTTTATTTTTCTAAAATAAAAGATTTTTTTATAATATAATAAATAGTAGTCTAAGTTACTTCTTATTACATCAGCTACCTGCCAAAAAAAGTAACGTCAAAATCGGTCCAGTCTTTTCAACAACAAAACAGACAGATAGACAAAAATTGTAAAAAATGTTATTGATGTACATATATACCGTATTTATATCCATATGCATGTAGCAAAAATTGGTTATTTCAATATGACAAACAGACACTTCAATTTCATTTATATTTATAGATTACGCGAATTAGATGTTGCTGTGATCAACACGGTCTATGATTGATCTACTTTGAATTATACCTACCAACTGCTTACTGTAAAATTACAGAATGCCAAGCTTTAGTAAATAAATATTAGAATTAGAAAACTCTTGAAAAAAAGTTTCATATCAGTGTTGAAATTGACACTCAAAGTTTTTTTGTTGCATCCAAATTTTAACTTACGACTTGGGCATGAAACCAAAAGGCGACTTTCTATCTACCACGTTGGTCAATGAAGTGACGTAAAGACAGATGATATCAAAAGCAAGTTATCGTTTATTTAAAAAAAAGCAGATATAGTCGCGGGTAATATCAAGTCAAGATCTTATTCGAAATTAAAATACATTTCGCTTCAAATTTATCTTGCTCTTACTCCGCAAATCCAACATTATCACGATTCTAGTTCTTTAGAAATTTCTTCTTAAAATAGATACACGAATAAGGAGAGAAAAATATGATGAGAAATTCTCTGCGTAGTTTTTCATTCTCATTTATCCCAATCTAAAGAGCAGAAGGCAAGTAGAAACTCTTACGTTGTGCTTATATCTATATACCTATATATATATTCTTTCATATCTCATACATAAAATTCTCATGTGGGGAGATTGTTAGTAATGTGGATTAATAAACCCCATTAATAGCTATGTATCATGTAAGGCTGACCTCCACACGGCTCCCTCTGGAAACCATTATGTTAAACTCCTAGTGAATATGCCATGATGGGCTACCTGACCTAACTTCATACTCATATTATTCTCCACTGGTGCCCCGCCAGTGTAGGTATACCGTTAACGCAAGCGGGAGCATTATTCCGTTATCCTACATAAAGAAATGTGTTTTGGGTGAGCAAAACAACTTGATCGATTTTGATCTAATTTTATATGTATGTTCGGTAGGTCTGAGAATAAGCTATATCTATTTTTTATACACATTGTTATTTTCAGGACACACTTTTTATGGTTATTTTTCAAATTAAAATACGGGAATGTGTTTAGTACTTGTGTATTACGACGACATTAGAACATTGACATTACGCTTTCAAAAAAACGCACTTCAAAAAAACTGACAGCTGACTGAATTGCAACACACATAGCTTATACTATAATATATTTATGAAAACTTGTAACATATTTTTTTTATTTTTATCATGTGTAAAAATAAATATTCAAGGAGTAGGTATATGTATTTTTACACATGGTAAAAATAATGAAAAACATATACACCTTACCACCACAAATATACCAGCAACCTCTATTTTTTATAGCGATATTACTTTAATTTATATTGCAAAATGTTTGCCAGTCATATTGTAATGTTA